GATTTAAATGTTGGGACTTTATTCAGTGCATTTGCCTGGAATGTTTAATTTGCCTCACAATGTCCTGAAATGGCAGGCAACCGTGGGAGGGGGGTTGACCTTGTTGTTTGCAAGGCTTTTTCAAGTAGATGAAGACTTCAGTACTAAAGTGCCACATGCTGTGTGAATATGCAGCCACTGTGGTTATTATAAACCTTATGAACAAATGTTGACAAAGCAGCAGGGACGTTGCAGTACAGACAAGTAATGTGAATCTGGCAGGTGCCTGCTGTTATATCTCCCAAACTTGTTTCATGCAGTACTTGCAATAGTATTTATTTTTTTTTAAAAAAATCCTGCTTTTCAGTATTTAGGTCTCAAAACAGCATACAATGACAAAAATATACAAAATTTTAAAATCAACATTAAACCCCCAAAATGTAAAGCCTCAGAAATTTAAAAACATCTGAAGTGTAAATGCATATAATCACAATCAAAGAAGCAATCATGTTACAAAGGCCTCCTGAAATAAGATGGTTTAAACAAAGTTCCAGAAACTCAACAGTGCTTGTCCATCATGACCTGAAAGCATGACTTCTTACTGCCATGAGTCATTCTTCTGGTCCATGGGGGACCATTAACAGTGCTTCCCCAGATGATCTCAACAATCGACTTGGAAAATACATGGTGAGGAGGTCCTTAAGGTGTCCTTAACCATAGACCATTGACTAAGTCAATGGTTTTCAGCCAGTGTGCAATGGCACCCTGAGGTGCCTTGAATGATGGTCAGGGGTGCCAGGGGCAACACTGGCCTCTGTTCCTCTTTCCTTCCCTCCCTTCCTCTGATGCCCTCTCACATCTCTGCCTCCCAAAGGCTTGCGCAGCTGTTTGTTGCAGCATCCCTGGCTACAAGCTCCTCAGGTGAATGGTGCCTCTGGGACTGGCCAGCGGGTGCTTTCCAGGTCCCTGTGGGGCAGTGTGAGCAGGCATCTCTCTTTGGGGTGGGGTGGGGAAGCTCAAGAGATTAGGGATGGCAGCTGCAGCTGCCCAGAGGACTCAAAAAGAGAGGGGAGATGAGAGGAGGCTGAGGGAACACTCCCCAAGGGGAGGGTGTTTGAAAAGGGGTGAGGGATTGTTGGCTTTGCAGGCAAGGGTGGCATAACTGGACTCTTGAGCCCCACAGGGGTGCCACAGAAAGAATGAAGTTGGTCAAGGGAGCCACGGACCCAAAAAGATTGAAAACCTCTGGACTAAGTTATTCCGGGCTTTGTACACTAGTACTAGAATTTGGCTTGGTGGCAAATAGGAAGCCACTGCAGGTATTTTAACACATGTATAGTATGTTGGCAGTAGCTTCTTCTCATCATCAGTCTAGCTGCAGCTTCCAGACTAGACCCAAGGGCCCACTTCCATAAAGAGCATGTTTTAGTAATTCAGTCTTGAGGGTAATAATTTTCATGAGCCCTATGGAGACCTTTTGGCAGGGCTGGTCAGATGGGAATGAAGAATAGTATGTGAGTTGGGAAACCAATTCTGGGGAGGGAGGGGCCCAGCAGCTTGCCAGGAGGAAGTTCAGTGACAGTGGATGTCCTGAGTGCCGAGAGAAAGGTTTTTGAACCAGGCTCTGCCCCAATCTCTTGCTAGCAAAGTGCTTCCCCCCTAGGTCAGACAGTGAACTCGCACTATTGACTTTGTCTTACTAGGATGTGATGCTGATTGTGGTGGCATGAGCAGACCCACAAGCATGCCTCCTTGCCCATTCTCACGGCTCAGGATGGGATTTCTGTGGATGATTGTGCCTGCCCTCCTCTTCAGAAGGGTAGCTCAGGGGGCATGTCAAGTCTTGAGACAATGCCTTTGCTTACACCTAACCATGTATCCTAGAGCTTTGCAATAATCTGCTAAGTGTGTACCTTCCAACTTGATATATGTTTAGGTCATGTAGCAAATTCTAGAATAAAACCAAGCGGAGAGTCTGAGTATTACGTCTGCAAGTGGGAGCCAGGACAGTCATGGAGGTGTTAGCTGGGAGAGGAACTGTATTTATTGCCTGGTGTATTTATTGCATGATGGGTAGGAAATGCAAGAACTCTGAAACATGAGCACTTCCATTTTGATGTGCAGCAAATTACTAAGAACACCACTAAATATATTGTTCTAAACTGATGGTGTGGACAAGGTTCTGAATGAATAGGAAAAAAATGTCAGCTTCCATCTGGTGCCAAATAGCAGCTTTTCTGTGATTATTTGTATGTTTTAAACATATTTTATATAGGTATATAGTTTTAGTTCTATTAACGGTTGCTTGTTTTTTAATTATTATTTATGTTTTTAGTGATTCTTGTTTTTATTTGTAAGCTGCATTGAGTACCATCAGGGGGGAAAAAGCTGGGGTATAAAAAACAACCAACCAAACAACAAGGGCTTTTGTTGATGCTGCTACTGCCCTACATTCCCAACTATGGTCAGACCACATGTGGCTACCCAATCCTTCTTCTCCCTCTCCTCTACATGTGAAAAGGGTCACAATTCCCACTCCACAAATGGATCTCTGTGGATAATTTTTTGCTTGATTGCCCAGGTCTCTGTATTTTCCTCTGCTAGTATAAGTATAAATAGCCCAGTATATGTTCATTGTTCATCAAGCCAGTTGCTTACACTTAGGATGGTATAAGCAGCAGTCTATTTCCACAACCGTGGAATTATAGTTGGGGCAACTAGAGCACCAAAGAAAGCTGATCCGGTGCAGCTAAAGAGCCTTCTGTATTCAAGCTGGTATCCCAGGAAGGATGGAAATGGCTTCTGGGCATCCACTGCAAAATGGACCGATTGTTTGCTGTGTTCCTGTGAAGACAGGCAGCTGTCTTTGATTTGCCCTGGGCTGAGAGTCTCTTTTTGTTACAGTCCATGCAGGCACATGGTCTGCTGCGAAAGTGGAAGAGATATAAACTTAGCTGTCTCTCTCATTGCACAGCACTGTCATCTTTTTCTTTTTCCTGAATGGGGAGGGAAGGGGGGGAATCTTGTTCTAAATACCTTGTATGTCCATTCAGAGAACGACAAGCGTGCTTCCTTTTTACTCTGCGAATGGCACGAGATCTCCCTCCCTCTTTGCTTAGAGGCTGACTTTGCTACGTGACACACAAGCCGAACATGACTTGTTTTTTGGCAGCGGTGCTAACATTCCGGTGGTCTCAGGCCCCTCTGGAGTTTGACGAGCAGCACAACTGGGGATGGTCAGGAGGAGGAGGATTCTTCCTCCTAGGATGATCTGCATTCAGTTATTGTCCTTTGTGCTACTTCCATCAGAATGAGCTGCTGTACATAAACCTGCAGATAGCTGCATGCTTCCTCTCGCCATTAGAAACCCCACCCCCAGAGCAAAAGGTGTATAAATACATTTTATTAAGACCCAGCTGAAATGTCACAGAGTAGTGAGCAAGCTTCTGAGCCTCTCAGAACTTGTCTTCAGAGAAATGATTTTCAGTAAAATGGTAAAAATGGGGGCACGGGAGGAGAAAAGATGTTTCAGAGCAGGATTTTTAAAAAAGACCCACGGTCAGCAGTGTAAACAGAGTAGACAGAATATAGACTTCAGAAGACTAGATCAAGACTAGGTGCAGAGCACATTTTGGGTTGTGCCAAGGGCTACAAGGAAAAAGAAGCAAGAACTGTTTTTCAGAAAACATAATAAAGGTAAAGGTAAAGGGACCCCTGACCATTAGGTCCAGTTGTGACCGACTCTCGGGTTGGAGCGCTTATCTCGCTTTATTGGCTGAGGGAGCCGGCATACAGCTTCCGGGTCATGTGGCCAGCATGACTAAGCCGCTTCTGGTGAACCAGAGCAGCACATGAAATGCCGTTTATGTTCCCGCCAGAGTGGTACCTATTTATCTACTTGCACTTTGAGGTGCTTTTGAACTGCTAGGTTGGCAGGAGCAGGGACCGAGCAACGGGAGCTCACCCCGTCGCGGGGATTCAAGCCACCGACCTTCTGATCAGCAAGTCCTAGGCTCTGTGGTTTAACCCACAGCGCCACCCGCGTCCCTTAGAAAACATAATAGCCAGTAGCTATTTGCATCTACCTGTTGCTCTTTTATAAAATTCTTGATTAATGTTCATCTCTTGTATCCAAATTGATGCAATGAAACATGAATAGTTAAGCCAAAAGAGCAGAAAACAAGCTGTTCCAAGTACAAAATATTCCTAAGCTGAAGTTGACAATCCATGGGCAATATTGGCTCCTCCTTATGCATTGTGGGGTGATCTAGTTTTCTATGCAACTGTGGCACTGACCCACTTGCAATTGCTTGCTCAGATGTGATTGGCTCTTGATAGCTTACATAGCATTATAGTGGCAAAAAGTATTTGCTGTAACGGCCAATTAATACTGTTGTGTACGTATCTAGAGTTCCTCACATCTATTAGGAACATAGATCGGTATTACTGGTTCACAGTGATATCCCTGTATTGAAGGGAGATGGGGGACACTGCATCTTGAGGCTGAGAGAGTGGCTTTTAAATTCATTGCTCAAAGGCAAGCTTTGAACCAAGGGCCTTCTGCTTCACAATTCATTTTCTTCAGCTATGGCACCAAATTGGTTTTCAGTTCAAAGCTCGCCTTGGGCACAAGCTTAGTAGTCACATGAAAGCTGCTACTACCTCAGCCCCATTAGCATTATGGTAAAAGCATGTACCTTAAGGAAAGCTTGCTCTTCAGCCTCCCCAGATGTTGACCTACTGAATTCCTTCAGCTTTGCATGCAAAAGATCCCAGGTTTCATTCTGGGATCCAAGAAAGCTATTTTAAGATATATTCAATGTAAGATACCAGCATCTGATATGAAAGCAGCTGAAAGAGATGTGGATTGCCATAACTCAAGTGGTAGAGCATCTGCTTTGAATACAGAAGGTCCCAGGATTAATCACCAGCATCTCCAGGCAGGGCTGGGAGATGAACCCTTGTCTGAATCTTTGAGAGCCACTTCCAGTCAGTGTAGACCAGGGTTTCCCAATCATGGGTCTCCAGCTGTTTCTGGACTACAGTCCCCATCATCCCTAGCTAGCAGGACCATTGGTCAGGGATGATGGGAACTGTAGTCCAAAAACAGCTGGAGACCCAAGTTTGGGAAACCCTAGTGTAAACAATGTTGACCTAGAGGAACCAATGGTCTGACTTTGAATAAAGTAGCTTCCTATGTAGCTCATAGGGTGGGTGGTGACCAGGGGCAAGAATTTTCATCTGTGACACACTGATTGTAGAATTCCCTCCAACAAACTGGCTTGGTGTCTGCTTTGCTATCTCTTAGGGACCAGACTTGTAACTATTATGTTCTTCATCAATTCCGGTAGTTTTATTGCATAGCCTACTCTTTCCTTTCAAGAGAGCGTGTGTTTTGCATTTGTTAAGTTTGCACTGACTTTTTAAATTCTCACTGCAGACTTCTCAGGGGTGTATATTATTAAGAGTGGCACATAATGTTTATGTATTATAGTGCTTGCAAATGGATGCTTATCAAGAACTGATCCTGGTTTCGTGCATGGCAGCTGCTGATGTGACGAGCAGTTTTCTCATGCCTCTTTCTCTTACACCTGGAGCTGCTTGAAGGCTCTGCTTGTCCAGGGAGGCAGCCTTGATCTGCTGGCAGGGAACAGGTGGGCTGCATATGCAGACATTCCTTGCTTGTGGGAGTGGTTGGCAGGGAAAGCATCAATGCTAAAAATAATTCCCAGCATGTTCTTTTGACTTACAGAGAGAGTTGTGGTTGAGTACAGAGCACCAGTTAGGGTCTTCTGTGGGAGGGAGGAATGCTAGAAATGATGTTGGGCATGGACTTGTTCTGTTGGTTAGAGAAGTGAGAATATGGTTACAGCCTACTTTGGTCAAAGCAATAGCTCATCTGCTCTCCATAGGTCAACCTTTCCCAACATGGTATCTCCAGAGTTTTGGACGAAAACTTCCATCTTTCCTAACCAGTGGCCATGCCGGATGGGGCTGATGTGAGCCATAGTCCAGAATGTTTGGAAGGTACCAGGTTGGGGAAGGCAGTTTCTTTCTCCACCCCCCCCTTCTAACTTTCTAATTTTGTGGTACTCATTTAGCCACAGAGACATTTGGGTGTGCAGGAATAATGAGACTCTCTTGTGACTGAAGGGTGAAAAAGGGTTCCTTAAAGCAGCAAAGTTGCTAGCTGATAATGTTCGTGTCAACTGTCTAAATAGCAAATCTGTTCTTGGGAATCAACTGTGAGCTGCTGGGATTGATTAAACAACCTTATCCATCCTGCTCCTTTCCTTTTACTGTAAACACTGGGTTGGAGCACTAGCCAAGTTGTGATGTTTCCTCTATGTCAGTCTGTGATGGGTGAATAATGAATGATGCTGCCGTTATTCATTCCCTGTGAGGACTTTGAGGATGTGTTGGGATTTGCTATGAAATGACAGCTAGCAATCTGAACAGGTGAACGATGTAACTGTGCAAGAGACAAGCAGTTGTGCCATTAAATGGGGCAGGATATGGGGGCAGCCGTCCAGGCAGGGCCCCATTCCGCAGAATGAGCAGGAGGGACCCTCAGTACATGACTTTCTCACTTATTTCAAAGTAAGTGAAATAACATACAATGCCATCCAAACAACCGGTAAGTCTGGAGTCTAAATTTAGTTTAAGATTACTTAACTGCACTACTTGAAAGAGGAGAATAATAGTAGGAAACGCCTCCTCAAAGCTTAGTAGCACCTGAGGCAGATGTTCTGTGAGTTTGCTCTCTTTAAAGCCCCCTTTACTGAGATGAAAGAAAAATTGAAATGCAATATTATGTATGAGTCTACTGTCAGACCATGGCACCCCCCACCCTTTCCTTGCATCCTCCTTTTGGAAGATCTGCAGCTGCTTTTGTGGTAGCAGAAAATCCTGCTCAACCATTTGTTAAATATAGCTGTGAAAGGGCAACCAGCTCATGGTTATCCTCTATCCTTTGTGTTCTTTGGAAATAAGTTATGAAGACAGAACCATTGGGAGAGGAGAGGTTCTGCCATATCTGAAAGGTGTTGGAAATGCTGGTCAAGTCTGAGAATCAAAGCTGGAAAAGGATCCCTCCCAAGAAGGAGTTGCACTTCAGCATCAAACTGGGGGCCCTACTTTGGCTGCCAAGTACTTGGTGGTGTTTGTAGTTGATGAAATTAAGGTTGTTGTTCTTGTTTGCCTTTCTCTGAAGTAGACTGTTGAAATAAGGGAACACTCTCTGATTAATAAAATGACATCATAAAAAGTCCTTAACCTGGCACATAAGTGAAGGCTTTGTTTGGGGATAGTGTTCCATAAATGGAGCACCACTACTAAGAAGGCCCTCTCTCTGTTTGCCACTCCCATGGTGAAAGCATAGTGAAAGGTTGATCCTAGAGATTAGGCAGGTTCACAGGGGAGAAGGCTGTTCTTCTAAGCATCCTGATCTTTGCAGCAGGGTTGGTGAATCTGTGGGCCTTCACTTGTTGTACTACAAATCCCACAACCCCTGACCGTTGACCATGCTGCTTGGGGCTGACGAGAGTTGGAGTCCAATAACATCTGGAGGACCACAGGTTCCCCACCCTGTCTTAAGAGCTTGAAAGATCAACACCAGCACTTTTGATTAATTGTGCCTGGAAACAAACTGTTGCCTTTTATTTTATTTTGCTGTTGTGTAGCCTACTTACTGGTTCCATTTACTGTCTTTTCAGACAGAGGGAAGCAAGCTGCAGAAGGATCTCCGGACATACCTGGCTTCAGTAAAAGGTAACACCTGGAAAAATTGCTGTGATGTCACTCTCCCCACAGAAGACAATTCTAGAAATGCTCTCAGGGCTTGTGTGTGTTTTATTCTTGGTGTCAAGAGTGGCCGGCATGGTGGGGCGATGCCACAGAGCTGCCCTCCCACAACAGCGGAGTCACTGCTACTTACCTGGACGGTTCTGGGATGGGGCAAGCTGGAAGTGAGGTCAGGGCTGTATGGGTGCACCAGAGGGAGCACTGGATTAGGCTATGCCACTGTGCCCACATAGTCCCAACCACACCATGGCATTGACCCCTCCCTACCCTGCTCAGGTAAGCAGCAGTGTTCTGCCCCACCACACTGGGCACTCCAGTATACCAGCCAAGAGGCATTGTCTGCATTAACTAGAGAAAACTACACATACAGAACTAAGCAGTTACAGCAACTTTCAGTGCAGGACAGCAAATATCTGTCAGGGGCACCTGCTACTTTGTTCTAATGTAGCATGGAAAGTTCTCATCCCCTGGGTGCATGCCACAAAAACACAATGTTCAGACAAGACTCCAGTGGTGTTTATAAATGCTGGGATCACTTGCTATCAAGGGATTTGCTCTCTGTGGCCTTTGATATGATCAGTAACCGGTAAGTGGCATCTTCTATAAGATGCACTTATTCCTTTGATGCAGGATGGAGTTTAGACAAACAATCGAAATGGGAAGCTTATCTTCTCAGTTGGTCCCTCTCTCCCCTTTCTCTTTCTAATATTTTTGTTTATATATAGGATCTCTCAATATGCTTTCTATGGTTATAGAGAGGGGAGAAGGGAGAGAAAGAGAAATCCAGTCCATTTTACAAATTGACTAAGTAAATACTTAAATGTAAACACAAACCCTATCCCACCTATCTATCTATGTTCAGATCTAAAGATCGGCCACTTCCAAAAGTATTGGTTTACACATTTTTGAAACAAAAATTTATACTTCTCTCTTGGATGCCTGCACTAGAGGAATATATGTTATATATCTAATGGCTCTTGGTGTATGTGTGTGTTGCCTCTGTGTTATATGCCCTGCTTTGCTTGCCTTGGAAACAATTCTCTTAAAGAATTGTCATGGGTTTGGGATAAGGCCTTGGTCAATAAGGAAGATTCATTTCCCCTGTTTGCTTTTTGGGTTGGGTACTTGATGGGATGCTACTGTGTTATTCAAAATTTGGAGTCTCTTTTTTTCTATCTCCAAGCAATGCACGAAGCCTCCAAGAAACTGACAGAGTGTTTGCAAGAAGTGTATGAGCCAGATTGGCCGGGAAGAGATGATACTAACAAAATATCAGAGGTGAGGTTCTGTTCCATTAGCATCACTTATGTATTATGATCTGCATTCCCTCATTCATTCATAGGGACTATAGCTGTTGAACTGATTTTGGGGTTATAGCACAGTGACCTGGTTTTGGACAACATCACTGCATCTATCAATGCATGTATCCCAGCCAATGCAGCAAAATGTGATACCTGTGGATAGCTCAGTCGGTAGACTAAGGGACAATCTCAGGGTTGTGGGTTTGAGCCCCACATTGGGCAAACGATTCCTGCATTGTAAGGGGTCGGACTGGATGACCCTCGTGGTCCCTTCCAACTCTACAATTCTATGATTCTAGGAATAAATCTGCTGAAGCCTCGGGCATGCACACTGCCCCTTACCCCTTCTCCAGTGTGGTCCCAAGGAACATGTTGGAGGCATCCTGTGTAGAGGAGCGGTCGGTGAGGAGGCACTCCTGCCATTGTGCCTACACAGTATCAACCTCTTCACCACATCTCCCTCCCGATAAGCAGCAGGAACTCTGCTGCTGGGAGGCTAGGTGTGCAGTAGCAGCCCTCGCCACTGACTGCTCCCGATCTTGCTTGTCCATGATTTATCATTAAGACTGAAAATGTTTTAGTAAACTACAGTGGAACCTTGGTTCTTGAATGTAATCTGTTCCGGATGTCCGTTCGACTCCCAAAACCGTTCAAAAACCAAGGCTCGGCTTCTGATTGGCTGCAGGATCTTCCTGCACTCAAGCAGAAGCTGCATTGGACATTTGGCTTCTGAAAACCATTTGAAAACTGGAATACTTACTTCTGGGTTTTCGGCATCCAGGAGCCGATTTGTTTGCTAACTAAGCCATTTGAGAACCAAGGTTCCACTGTATAGTGAAAGTGACCACAACTTTTCCCTTTCAGCTATAACCAAAAACTGTTGTTAGGTTTAAGTAGGAAGTGGGTGCTTTCTCCTTGTGGCCTCACCAGAGGAAGTAGGGGGAGAGTGGAGTGGAAGGAACACATGAGCCCATGGCTTAAGCAGGCTTGTTCATATAATGTCATGTCATTGG